AATAGTTTTTAATTTTAAATTAATAAAAAATATTAATTTTTAAATTATTATTTATAATAAAAAAAAAAAAGAAAAAATTTAAATGTGATCAATTAATAAAGTAAAGTTAATATCGAAAAAAAAAATATTACATTAAAAAATATTAAATAAATTTGATAATAAATATTAATAAAATAAGAAAACTTATAAAATATATAATATATAATATATAATATATATATAATATATAATATTAATAAATAATTTATAAATTTATGTTTTTTTATGATTTTTAAAATATAATCTAAATTTTTTATTTTTTAGTTTTTATTAAAAAAAACTATTTTAAAAATTAAATAGAATTTTTTATAAAAATATATTTAGGTTTCTAATGTTATATATAAATAATTATTAAAAAATATTATATTTTTTTACTTTAATTTTATAAATTTCTATAATATAATATTTATATATTTTTATATAAATATATTTTTAAGTATATATATATATATATATAAATATATATATATATATATATAGTTATATATTATTGTTTCTATTAAAACTATTTATTTTTTATTTATATTTTCTCTTATTATCTTAAATATAATAATTAATTATATATAAATTATATTTTTTTTTTAATTTATTCAATTATTATTTTTTTATTAAAATATAATATTATATTATATTAAACATTTCTATTAACAAATAAATTTTTTTTTTTTTTTTTTCCTCTACACTTTCATTAATAATATAATTTATATCTCTATTTACAATTTTTTATCATAATATTATATTTTTTTAAAAAAATAAAGTTTTTTTTTAATTTATTATTTTTATTAATCTAAAAAAATTTAATTAAAAATAAGATTAGAGAAGGATATTTTAAACTTAAAATTAAATATTATTAAATATTAAAAAAATAAAATAAGCAAATAGTTAAAAAATGTCAAATTTAAATTAAGTTTAACCACTTTTAAACGAGTTAGAAAAGCTTGTTTTATCTAATTAACAACCTTAAAGGATTCAATAATTAATATAAGAATTAAAAGTATAAAAATAAATAATAATTCAAATTATTATGAAAAAAATTAAAAGCCTCTTATATTTTTATTACCTTCAAATGATGCAAATAACCATTAAAAAAATGACAACGAATTAGTTTCATCAAGTAAAAAAATAAAAAATAATAAATAAAATTTTTTAAAATCAGGATATTTCCATGAATTATGCATTCTTTATATTTTAAGTACAAAAGACATTTCTTAATTTGAATCTTCTATCAATTATCTTTCTACTTATTATTAAAATTACCAAAACTTGCCTCCATCTGCAAATTAAAATACTTTTGTTGCTTTAAATTTACTTTATTTATTATCTTATAATAAGTAACATTTATATATATATATATATGTATAAAATTGTTTGCAAAAAAATAGACTTGCTGAATTCCACACTGCCATCGAATTAATTAATCCTCATGATTTATAAGAAAATAAATATATAGATTTTGTTGTAGATTTAGAAAGATAAATAACTATAGGAAACTACTCAAAAGTAATATAAAGTAAAGAAAAAGTTCCTCTTATGAGTTTCCATGTTTTCTTAGATAGAATAATTGAAACTATAAGATATGAAACTGCAAGAAGTGCTGAAAAAGGTTATGAAAGTTTAAGACTTACTGATTGTGTGAAACTTTTCCATTTACATAATGTCGATTAAGTATAAGATTTTGCAGATTAATAGAATAAAATATCTGATGTAATTTTTTTGTTTTATTAAATTTTTTTTTTTTTTCTAGGAAAATGAATTTACTTGGGTAGTATAAAATGATAGATTATGGTTTAAAGGAAAAGATCATAAAAATGTATAAAAATTTAATGCTGAAAATCTTATAAGAACTTCATTAAGTTATGCATATGAATTAGAAAAAATTGTTTGAAAATTATTATTTTTTTTAGTTTTTTTTTTTTTTTTTTTTTTTTTTGTTAAAATAAATAAGAATCATTTTTTTTTTTAAAAAAAAAAAAAAAATTAAACAACGGGGAAATTTTTAAAACAAAAAAATAAATAAAAAAAAATGAATATTTATTTATAATAAAATGATTATGTATATTTAAAAAATTTAGTATTTATTTTTTGTTTGTTTTGGAAAAAAAATAAAAAAAAAAATTAAAAGGATTTTTCAAATTAATAAAATAAGAAATATTTCAATACTATATTTAATTTTAATAAAATAAATATATATATATAAATAATAGTTGAAAAGAAATTATAATATGGATATTTCTTATATAATTAGCTTTTTTTTCAAATTTTTTTCAATAATACTTGTTTTAATTTGCTGTATATTATTTTGTTTATATTATTTCCAAAATCAAATGCTATATTTACCAGGTAAAATATAATCATTATAAAGTTTTAATTTCAAATAAAAATAGTTGTATAAGGTATGCCTAAATCCCAAGACTTGAATCCAATAGGTTTTAGAACTCCTTTTGATGTGTATAATATTTATTTATTTATTTTTAATAAAAAAAAAAAAATATAAAAAAATAGCGGAATAAAATTCGAAAATATAACAATTTATACTAGTGATAATATTAAACTGCATGGGTAAATATTAAAAAGTTAAAATAAAAAAAAAAATTCATTAAAGTTGGATATGTAAATTAGAAAATTCATAAAATGTACCTACAGTTATATATTTTCATGAAAATGCAGGAAGTACATATATTTTTATCAAATAAAGCAATATTTATTTATAAAAAAATGAATAAATAAAATAGATATTGGAACTAGAATACATTATTTAAAAAAATATTAATAATTAGCAAATGTTAATATAGTATTAATAGCTTATAGAGGGTAACAAAAATAAACTGAAAAACATTCAAATGTTTATAAATAAAAATAGATATAGCAATAGTGATGGATCTCCTTCAGAATAAGGATTATAAAATGATTCAATTGCAATTCTTAATCATATATTTAGTAGAAATGATATTAATACAGAATAAATATTTATTCATGGAAGATCTTTAGGAGGAGCATTGACAATATATGTTGCCGCAGAACATAATTATAATGTATATTTTTTATAAAATAAATAAAAAAAAAAAAAAAAAAAAAACCAGGTTAAAGGTTATATTATCGAAAATACATTTACTTCAATTTCTGATATGGTTGATATAGTTTTTCCTTAACTTAAATACATTTAATTTATTAAAAATAAACTTATAACAAATAAATGGGAAAGTATAAATAGAATTGATAAAATTCAAAAGCCAATACTTTTTATTGCTTCTTTAAAAGATTAATTAGTTCCTTCTTAATAAATGTATAAATTATATGAAAAATGTAAAAGTTAATATAAGAATATGGTAAATATAAACATAAATTAATAATTTAAAATTTTATTTTTAGTATACTATTTAAGATGGTGATCATAATAATAGTTGGAATGTTGATCCTTATAATTATTTTAATTAAGTGTAAAAATTCATGAATATAAGTTTATAGAAATGATTTTTTATTTTTTTAGTAAATAATATTAATTTTTATTAAATAAAATTATTTATTATTAGTTAAAATTAAAAATAATTATATAAAAGATAAAAAATAATATAAACAATAATCTATATATATTAATAATAAAAGATGTTTTAAAAATTAGTAGGTTATATATATTATAAATAATTAAAGAAAAAATAATATAAAATATGCTTTTAATTCTTAATGTAAGTGAAAACTAATAAAAAATTGAAATATAAAATAAAAAAAAACAAAAAAAATTATAAAATAAAATAGAAAAGATATATAAATATATACAATATATATAAATAAAAAATAAATAATTAAAAACGAAAATAAAATAAAATTAAAAATAATAATAATAATAGTTATTAATATATGAATATTAATAAAAAATTAATAAATAAATATATATATATAAATATATATATATAATTATTTATATATATTATTTATACATCTATATATTTTTATCTATATATAATATTTAATTCAATTTATAAATAAAACAAGTTTTTTATAAATTATAAATAAATTAAAAATGGGATTTTTATGTTTCGATTATAACCCTAAATCTTCATTTGATTTTAAAGATTCTAAGTTTAGAAAATCATTAAACGAAATATCTGTATTAGTAATTGGCGATAACCAAGTTGGTAAAGGCTTTTTAATGAGCTCTTTAATCCGTCTTGGCTAAAGTTTAGGTCCTGGTCAGGAAAAATTCCGATACTAAAATAAAATTATCTCCTTTTAAAGGCTTTCTAAAAGTGATCCTGAATATTTCCGTTTAAATGACAATTATTTAAACGAGGCCGATGTAGTTCTTGTTTGTGTTGATTTATCTAACAAATCCACAATAGAGAATTGTCAAGAAAACTTTTTTGAAATTATATTATCTTATATCACAAAAAATACTGAAAAAGAATTTCGTTGTATTGTAGTCGGTTGCAAAAGTGACCTTTTAATTAATCAATAAGAAGAAGAATCAATTCAATAATAATGTCGGAATTTACGAATTCCTTATATATCTGTCTCTTCTTTAAAAAATAAAAGAGTTACCGATCTACTCAATTAAATTCAAGATTTTAAAAACATCAATATAAATAAAGATACAGTCCAAGATTAAATTTCAATTATCTAAACCTAATCTATCCGTTCTTAACAACCCCAAAGTTAATAATAAAAGCCCACCTAACACAACAGAGCTTTAAATTAAGTAAATTTAGCACCAATTCTATAACCTGATGAAGAAAGTAAAATAGACACCTAATTAATGAAATAAGGTAGCCATGTATTATAAAATACACAAAGATACATCCGAATCATCCCTCATGAAAAGATGTACGTAAAAAACCGACTATAACTAGATAAAGGCAACTTTGGTATAGTATATAAGATAATGTACGAAAACGAATATTGTGCTCTTAAAATATGCAAAATCGAAATGAACGATGATTCTGCTCTAAATAGATTCCAAATAATATTTTCTGAAGCCGAAAATATGCAAAAATTCATGTTGATAAAAAATATGAGAATTATGCCTTTAAAAGGAATGTCTTTTTAAGTCGATATGTAAAGGCAAAATGTCCTTATTGGTTATTGGATGCCTTTATGTAAATGTTCTTTAAAAAAACTCATAAAGGATAATTTTAATGATATTTCTATAGCTTAGAAAATTTTTTGGTCTTTGTAATTAATTGAGAGTTTGGAAATTTTCAATGAGTATAAAATTTAACATATGGATTTAAAACCTTAGAATATACTATTGGATTTAAATGATGATATTATTGTCTCGGATTTGTCAATGAGTAAAGTTTATGAGGAAATATAAACAGAAGCATTTAATATGTTGGGAACTACTGCTAAATATGCACATCCAGCGGCTATTATTAATCATGAATTATCACCTAGATTTGATATTTATAGCTTTGGATGTATTCTTTTGGAACTTTTTACTGGAAAATAACCATGGGGATCAATTAAAAGAGAAGAATTAAAGGAAATTTATTAATAAATACTAAGTGAACCAGAAAAAATGAATACTCTGGTTTATCATAAAGAAAATTATCCGAATACTATAAGGTATATTGAAGGAAAGTTCTAGCCAATTTAAGATATTATTAATATGTGCTGTGTGTAGATTTTTATTAAATAAAAAAAAGATGAAATTACGATTGAAAATATAAAAAAAAAATTTCTTTAGCTTTAAGAAACTTTAAAAATTAATATAAATAATAGTATTAATAATTAGGAGTAAATCTGATTATACATATAATATTTAATTATTTTTAATTTAAATAAAATAGATGAAAAAATTTATAAAATAAATAAATATTATCAATAAAACAAAAAAAATATTAAAGATATATTATAAATATATATATTTATTAATATATAAATATATATAATAATAATTATTTAATTATATCTTTATTTTTATATATTAAAATATATATTAGTTCATATAATAATTATTATTTATTCATCTTTTTCTTTTAATGTTATTAGTTTTAATTATTGTTTTATATTTTTAATTTTTTTTTATTCAATATTTATCCAAATAATTATAACTTTTTATTTTTCTTGTTTTTTATACAAATTCATACTAATTATCATATTTTCTATTATAATTATTATATAAATTAATAGGTGGTAATTATCCCAAATCATTTTTTTATTCTTAAATATTACTATTTAAAATAATTTACTTATTAGAGTTATAACTATTATTTTTATATTAAATCTAATTATTAGGAACATAATTATTATTTCTATAATTTTAATTATTGTTATTTACTAAATTATAATTACAATTTAAATTATTATTATTTTAAAATTAACTTATTTAATTTAAATTATTATATTTTGCATTTTAAATATTTCCAATATATTAATTGTTTAATAAGTTAATATTATTATTATTTATAATATCTTTATTATAATTATTATTATTATTATAAAATCTATTTTTTTTATCTATATAATAATTCATATTTTATCTATTTGTTTATTTTTCTAAAAAATACTAAGCCTCTGGTAACATATGATTTAAATTATTTAAGTTTTTGCTTATTTTTATAGTTTACATTAATTCATTTTTTTCTTATACTTCCCTATTTTCTATTTATTTGAATTATTTTAACAATTCTTCTGTACCAAGTCTATTTTTAGGATTTACTTATAAACATTTACTAATAAAAATATTTAGATCTTAACTATAATATTCATGTATGGGCCTATATTTACCAGTCATCACTTTTTTATATAATTCTTCCATATTTCTAGCTTTAAAAGGCGGCTCTAACATTGTCATTTCATAAACAACACATCCTAAAGACCAAATATCGCTTTTATAATCATAAGGCTTATCCTTCCAGACTTCAGGCGAGCAGTAATAGGGAGTTCCTGTTTATGTATAAAGCATTCCATTAGCATTTTTAGTTTATTTAGATACATTTAAATCTCCTAATTTTAAAGTTTCTTCATCAGCACTTAAAAAAACATTCGCGCATTTTAAATCTCTATGTATAATATTAAGATCATGTAAATATTTTAAACCTAAAAGCAATTAATTTATAAATTTCCATATTATCTTCTCCTCAAAAAAGCTCTTTTAAATTTTCTTCTCATTTATTTTATTCAATAAATCTCCACCTCCACAAAACTCCATTATTATGTGTAAAACTCCATTTTTTTCTTCAAAAAAAGCTTCCTTAAATTATACTACGTTTGGACTATTTATTGAGGCCAAAAATCTTATCTCGTTTAGTGTATTTTCCTTCTCTTTTTATGTTAGTTTACCCATTTTTATATCTTTCATGGCATAATCTTCATTATCTTATAGTCTTTTAACTTTAAAAACTGATGAGAAACTGCCTTCTCCTAGTTTTTTGAGTACACTGAAACCGTTTATGGACATTTTTTTTTTATTAATATTTTTTTTTTTTTTTTTTTTTTTTTAGTAGAAATTAAACAATTTATTTGTGGATTTTATTAAGATTAATTATTTTTTCATATTAATTTAAATAGTAGATTATACATGAATTTTTAATATTAAATTATTTTTAATAAATTTATATAATATATACATTTATATATTAATTTATTTTTTTATTTATTTTTTAAAAAAAATAAATTAATTTTTATCTTTTTAATTATAATTATATTATATATTTTTAATATTTTAAAATAAAAAAGGTTATTTTTATTTATATATAATTACGATTAAAAACAAAAACATAAAAATGAAAATACAATAAAGTGGAGGAGGAGTAATTAAATAACACTAAATAAAAAAAAATACTAAAAAAAGGCTAGTAATCACAATATGCCATAATAATATAATATTCGAGGAAGATAAATTTAAGAAGAAAAGTTATTATCAGAAGGTTTTTTATTATTTAACTTTAAAACAAAAAAACATATTAAATATATAAAAAATTAAAAAAGGTGGATATGGATATATATGGAAAGCATATGATATGAATACACGTGAAATATTCGCATTAAAGCGAATGATGTGTTAAGTAAAAAAAAAAACATTTAAATAAAAAAAGAAAAAAAACGAATAAAAAATACAAAATATAGGGATCAGAAAGAGTAAATTAAGCAAAATAAGAACTAAGAATAATGGTTATTTTTTTGTTTAAAATACTTAAAAAAAAAAAAAAAAAAGGAAAGTTTACCTTAACATCCAAATATAATAACATTTTACGGAGGACAAATAATTTCAATGTAAGGTGGATGTATAGCAGTGTATTTAATGGAATTATGTGATGGAGGATCATTATTTGATTTAATAAGCTAAAACTAATAGACTCGATTACAAGAAAAGAAACTAATTCATATCATAAATGAGGCAGCAAAAGGAATAAAAGCGTTGCATTAGATGAATCCTCCAATAGTTCATCGTGATATAAAAATAGAAAATATACTATTAGGACATGGAAAATATAAATTATGCGATTTTGGAAGTTGTTCATCATAAATAGTTGATTTTAGTACAATCCCTTAACATCAATATGATAATTATGAAGATTTGTTTTCAAAAACAACTACTTTAATGTATCGTCCTCCAGAAATGTGTGAACCATCTCGCTAATATTTAGTAAATTAAAAAGTAGATATATGGATGCTAGGTTATATATTTATAATAAAATATATAATTATTAAAAAAGTTGTAAAAATTTAAAAGGTTGTGTATTATATACAATAGCTTTCTATACTCATCCTTTTGTAGAAAGTTAAAAAATGGCAATTATAGACGCAACTTTTAGATTTCCTTAAAATTCTAAATATAGTGAAAAATTACATGATTTAATTAGACATATGTTAACACCAGATCCTAAATATAGACCGGATATTAATAACATAATATAAATATGTGAAAATTATGATAATATGAGTTAAATAAATTTAAATGTATTATATAAAAAAATATATATATTTATATATAATTTTAATTATATATATATATATATTCAATTACTATTTAAATATATGCATATTTATATTAAGTTATTTTTATATATATTTTATTTATATATAAATATAAATTATTTAATTAATATATTATATGATATATTTTTAATAAATTAATTTATATATATTTATATAATTATAGTAAATGGCAGCATAAATGAAAACTAAACAAATTTAAATTGAAAAATAACTTTAAACTTTTTCATCAAAACCTATCAAATAATTTGATGGTGATATTCCAATGGAAGAATTGTTGAAAATTTAAGAGAATATAAAAAAGGAATGTTTAGGCTCAGATGATGAATAATAAAATGAATTTACATTTGTTAGAAAAAAATAACCAGTTGTCAAGAAAAAAAACCTGAACAATAGTAAGTACAATAATAATAATTCTCAAACATCGGATAAAAACCATAATAATAATAAAGATAACTTAATTAAATGTAAATATAATAGTAAAATAATTATAATAGCCAAGATCCTTTTTCTTAATTTTAATAGTAATAATAATCAACATAACAAAATTTTAATAACAATAAAGATATATTTTCTTAATTTAACTTTTAAAGTAATAATTTAAATTAAGCTTAAAAAGTAAGTAATGACAATATTTTTGATTAATTCAATTTTTAACCTTAAAATAACTAAAAATAATTTAATCTTTAAAATAATAATAATAAATAATCAAATTCTATTAATTTCTAATAAGTCCCTTAATAAAATTTATAATAATAGTAAAATAATCAAAACTTTTAACCAAATATTTGGGAGTTTTTTTAAAATAATAACTAATTTGATTCTTAAAACAATAACTAAAAATAATAATAATAATAGTAGACTTAATAATAAAATCACTTTTAAAATTAATAATAATAATAAGTTTAGTAGTAATAATAACAAACATTTGATTTACTAGAATTCGATGAGCCTAAATAGTAATAGATTAATCATTAATAACAATAAAATTAGTTTGATTTACTTTGATAATAAATGAAAAAAGGAAAGTTATTATATATGAAAAAGTCAAAATAAATTTAATATGAAAGAATCATATATATAGTTAAAAATAAAATTTATTTTCAAAAGAAATTTATATAAATTATATTTAAAAAAAAAAAAAAAAAAAATTATTTTTTTTCATTTTAATTCAATTTAATGAATAGATCTCATAATTAAAGCTAAATTTTTTCTAAATTCATGAAATTATTAAATTTCAATATAAAAAACTTTCGTGACACCTTATTTTGTATGAAAACTTAATAAAATAGCTGGTCTTAATATCTTTTTTATATCAAAATAAAAAATATAAAATATTAATAAAAAAAAAAAACTTTTTTATTTCTTATAGAAGATAAAGAAATTTCAACTTTAAATTCAACTTTTGCAAAATCTAAAATAAGAGAATTCATATTTTCAAAATTAAGTTTTTAATTTTCAACAATTTAGCTATCATATTAAATACTTAATTTTTTATCAAAATGATATTTTATTAATTAATAATTATTTAATGTACGCGGACAATATATATTTGGTAATATTTCATTAAATAAATATTATTTTATATCCGGACTTATTGTTTCTATTTGTTCTAAATTTTCTTTCAATTATTATTTTGAACATACTGCTAATTCTTTTAATACTTTTATTAATTTAGTTGTTAATACTTTCTCTGGAATTGTTAATGTATTTTTTATATCTTTAAGTAAATTTAAATTATTGCTCTTTTCACCTAATATTACTTCTAAACTGATATTTAGTAAGTTTTAAGCTTTTTATTATTAATACATATTTTTATTTTTTTATTATTATTTTTTACGATTTTCGTTTTACTTTAAAGAATTTAGTACATCAATCATTTTTACTTTAAAAAAAGAAATATTATTATAATTTATTAGAATTAAAAATAAAATATAATTATAAAAAAAAAAAAATCATAAAAAATAAAAAGGAATATCAGGAAATAAAAAATGAATTATAAAGTAAAAAATAAATAAATAAGAAAATACGTAAATATAAAAAAAAGGACTATTCTCCAATACCTAATAGAAAATAAAGATATGAAAAGGAAATATTAATAAATTAATTAAAATCTGATTTGTATGAAAGAAAATTAATTGAAAAGTAATATTAAGAATAAATATCTCCAAGATAGTAAATTGAATATAAATACAATCAATTAAAAAAAGAAAAAGTAATTATAATAATAAAAAAAATTAAAACAAAAAATTAAAATATAATATTATTATTATTATAATATTATTTAAATAAATGAATAAATGAGAATTAAAAATAAATTATTTATAAATATTTAAATTAATATAAAATGGATTAATTTATATATTTGTTATAGATGAAAAATAAAATAAATAATATATAGATATTAAAATATATATATATATATATATATATTATTATTATTACTTTACTTATATTTATATAAATATAATTTTTATTATTTCAAATTTTTTTATTAACTTTAATTTATTTTAACAAAATTTTTATTAAATATCATACTTTATCCTTATTTAATTTTTTTTTTTTTTAATAAAAAATAATATTATTTAAATAAAAATTTGTTTTTAGTTATATTTTTTTATAGTTTCGTTAAGAATCTGATATAAAATGTTAAAATCACGATTTATTATAATTATTAACTTCTTTAAAAACAAAATGTGAAAATTATGATTATTAATTAACCTAATATAAAATTGATATACACGAAATACAAAGTTAAAATTTATCTTTAAATGGAATTTTAGAAAATATTTCTTTAGAAATATCTAGAATAAAATAAGAAAATATTCATTTAGATGAAATAAATTAACGACTTTAATAAGAAAATTTTAACTTTAAAAATGAAATAGAAATAAATAAAGAAACTAAAAGCAAAATGTTATATGACATAGAATTTTTAACCAATAATAATGAAATTTTGATTCAAAAACATAAGAACAAAATAAATATATAAATGAATTAGAATTAGAATAAAAATAAAATGAAAAATAATATTCTCATATGAACAATAAGCTATAATTTCTTGAAAAAGAACTTTAAAATAAAAACGAAAATCTTTAAAAAATCCATAGCTAGAATTTCGAATTAAATTAAAGTAATATTAATACATAAAATGAAATAAATAATAGTAAGAAAACAATAGAAAAATTAAAAAAAGAAATAAATAATTTAAATAATTAATTATAAGAAGAAAGTAATAAAAATTAGGCTTTAAATTCTTAAATTATTAAAATAGATACATAATTAAAGTATTATAATTATTATAAATATATATAGAAATATATATATAAATATATATATATATATATATATTATATATATATATATATCTATTACTTTTTTTTTAATTTTATTATTATTAGAAATAAAAATACTTTTATTGATGATTTAACAAATAAACTAGATGAAATTAAAATAGAAGTTTAGGAAACTTTAAAATAAAATGATTTTTTGGCAGACGAAAATGATATTTTAAGAAATAATAATGAATAATTAATTTTTTAAAAAGAAGAAGTATAATAAATATATCATATATATATATATGTATATATGTGTTTATCATTTATAAAAATATCAATAGTTAATTAGATAATTAGAAATTTTTAATGAATAAGATGAAGAAATAATAAAAACTTTGGATAGAAAATAATATATATAGGAAATAAAAGATTAAATTGAAGCTTTTTTTTAATAATCATAAGATGAATTTTCTAAATAATTATAATAATATTCTACCTTAACATATAAAACAATCGTAAAATAACAATAAAACTAAATATAATAATAACAATAATAAAAATAATGAATAAAATAAACAAATTATTATATTATAATTTATTTTTATAAAAAAAAAAAAAAAAATATAATAATAATTTTTTTTTTTTTACTTTAAAAAAAAAAAAAAAAAAATTCATATTAAAATCTCATCAATTACATTTTATTTTTTCTGAATATTTTTTCTTTATAATAAATCCAATTTTTTCAAAGACTTATGTTTTTCCTTTGTTTCTCCTCTATATACTTTCTCTAATTCCCTAATCTTATCTTCTCCCATATTATTTTATTTTAAAATGTCATTTTTTTCACCACTTAAATGTAATTAATTATCTATTTTTGGTAATTTCAAGCAATTAATGCCTTGTTTTTAATTTTAAACATGTTTATTTTTCACCAATTATTATTTACTTCCCTCTTCTAAATCAAATATGGACATTTTAATTGGCGACTTTTATTAAACATTAGCATTTTATTAAGAATTAGAATTTAAAAGATTATATTTTTTTTTTGTTTTTTTAACAACTTTTTAATTTTATAAAACTGACTAATTTACAATACTATTTTATACATTTTCATCTAATTAAATATTATTAATTTTAGGCAAAAAAGCATCATTTAAATTCGCCTTATAATTATCTAAAGTCTAAATAAACTAGCTTTTTTCCACTTTTCTCAATTTTAATGGCAAATAATTCGCCTTTGGAAGTTTATCTGTTAAATAATGCAGATTTTTTGGAATTTTTATAGTATTTAATAACTAAGGAATCCACTCATCAACTTCATATATATGACTTTCATTTATTTTCCTGACTATTATTGGATGCTAAAGTAATTTTTCAGCATTAGGTCTCAAATTTGGAGTAACTTATAAAAGAGAACGAATAACATTCGATAATTCTGATGAAAAATGTGAAGGAATTCTAGGATAATGACCTCGAATTACTTTTTTATATAAACCTTCCATGTCTTCGGCTCTAAATGGAGGTTTAAAGTAACCATTTCATACAAAACACATCCTAAGGACCAAACATCTGATTTAGCGTCATAAGGCTAATCTTTCCATACTTCAGGACTAAAAATGAATTATATATATTTTAAAATAATAATAAATATATATATATTTATAATAATATAAAATACATAAAAAATATATATATATAAATTTATAATTGGAAGTATATATATTTATATATATATATATATATATATATATATATATATATATATTAT